AAAAAACTCTAAAAAAAAAAGTTTTTGGCTTTATATATAAAAAGAAACTACAGACATGTTGTGGCTTTTCATATTTTTTGAAAAAAAAACAATCTAAAAAAAAATTACCAAAGATACATATATCTAAAAGCACTGTATAGCTACACAAAAAAGCTTTTAATAGCAATTTCAAACACACCCTATATGTAGCACATATTTACTTGTTTGAGTTGTTTCAAATTTTTACTCTCTTCTTTTCTATTTACTACAAAAATAATGTTAAATTTCACATAATTAACATTAGCAAAAATATGATATAAGGACCCAAACTTCAATTACACTCAATTAAGGTCCCGAACTACATGAAATTCTCAAATAAAGTTCTAATTGGATGGAATATTCTCTTACTAGCAAATATCTTGGATGCCCATTAACAATCTATCACTCAACCAATTGAATTACCATGTGAGAAAAACATGTTGACTTGTTATGGCCACGTGGATGCCACAGGTAAATCCCTATTCATTTTGAGGGAAATCATGGTAAGGAGAATTCATGTGACACCACCTGGCATCCATGTGGCAATGACCACATTAGCATATTTTCCATGTTGGCAATCTAGTTGATTGAATAGTTAACAGCACCTAAAACATTTGACGATAAATGAATATTCCATTCAATTGGAACTTTATTTGAGAATTTTATATAATTTGAGACCTTAATTGAGTACAATTGAAGTTTTGGTCTAGAATTGAGAATTTTGTACAAGTTTGGGGCCTTCTTCCATATTTTTGCCATTAACATTTGATAGAGAATCCATATACCTTTAAAGATCTACTATTTCCCACGAGTATGAGTATAGAGAGGGATTTTGACCCTTGTGCCAAAAATTACCACAAAAATCTTCGTACTTGTCATTGATCGGGATGAAGATAGGAAGGGAATCCTCACTCTGTAGAGACCCGTTACCATCTTTAGGTATCTAAAAATTATATTTGATTTCAATTAATCTGAAATCAAACTACATCTATTGAGACACTCTCCTTATACTTGTCTCTCCATTCATAAAACTTGAATTTAAGATTTTATTTAACTAAACTCAAACTCTTTTCTTTCAAACCAACAAGTCATTGGTTAAGATTTTGGGTCTAATCAGCCAATTTCATAGGAAAATTTTACCCTATGCAATCCGAGGCCAGAATTTTTTAGCAGACCTCAAGTTTTGATCCTATATTCCATCTTAGGCTAACAAGTGTGCGTTTAGATTAAAAACTAAAAACTACAGGTATTGCTTAAGCAATCAAGAATGGCCAGTTTGAAGGAAAAAAAATGGGAATCACATATAGAGGAATCCTTTTTGTGTGAGAACTATGCTTGTTTAACCTTATAAAGCGTGTTCATATGTCCCATTCCACAGAGGAAAATACAATACAGCATAAATTCCACAATCACTTCCACAGCTTCCGAAGGGACATGTTCTTCTCTGTCTCCTTCTTCATTACCTTGGCCACTGCCATCTCAAAATCCTCCTGTGTTACATGAACCCGCCTTTCTCTTAAAGCAAACATTCCTGCTTCTGTGCACACAGCCTGCAAGAAAAAAAATGAGTAGATTGTTCAACATGCATATAAATTACCATACACAAAAAAAGCATTATCGTCGTTGACATAAAAAAGTAGAAACAGAGGTAATTTAACAAATTTGTAATTTGATAGGAAGAGTTAAACTTCCCAAATACAAGCCTATGGTTGATCCTACTACAAGAGTTGTATCTCTTTATTCAACAACTAGCCACAATTTCTACAAGTAACCGCTTACATACCTTAAGCTCAGCACCAGATGCACCATTCATCTTCTCAGCAATCTTCTTCAAATCAATCCCACGCATCAAATTCATTTTTCTTGAATGTATCTTTAAGATATCCAGGCGAGACTGCATAATTGAGCAGAAACATAAACAGCATTAGCACTACAAGTTCACTAGGAAAAAAATTGACACATGTTTGGGGCACACAGGATAGCACTTTGATGTCAATCATAATAGAAACACTTGATGCTTAATGCTTTGAATCACATCAACCACTGCCTTCCCTCAACTTTGCTCCCTTCATTTTCTCCTAGAACTAGAAGTACTGGCTACAAAATGCTTTACCATTTTAGGTGGTAACGCAATTAATAATTAGACAGACAGAAATCTTCTATAATACCCTCCCCTTTTTCAAAATGGTGGCATTTGTTATGATTGCACTATTCACTGTGAGACTCAGGAGTACAACTACTTAATGCATAACTTTTCGTCCAAATCCAAATCATCCCCTAAACTCAAATTTGCTCTTCTTTCTAAAAGAAGAGTGAGGCAATAAATATGTTTTTAGTCAGTCATATAGGATGGAAAAGACAAAATGCAAATTACAGGAGAAAAGTCCTCTAATCTTCATGTGCAGGAATGGAACCAGGAATAACAACAATGACTTCATAGTTTGTACCTCCTCGTTAGGATTTGGAAATTCAATTTTCCTGTCAATACGTCCAGGTCTAAGAAGTGCTTGATCCAGGATATCAATCCGGTTTGTGGCCATCAGAACCTGTTAAAAGGAATCTCAAACTAGGTAAAGAGGAAATATAACTTGCAAATAACTATATGTAACCATGATATTCTCTCTCTAGTTCACTATATTTACATTATGTTGGTATAATCAATACCTTGATCTTGTTAGATGCCTCAAATCCATCAAGTTGGTTGAGGAGCTCCAACATAGTACGCTGCACTTCACTGTCACCATTGCCACTCCCAGATTCCATTCGAGCAGATCCAATACTGTCTATCTCATCCATAAAAATAATGGATGGAGCATGCTCCCTATAGATGAAAGAAGAGGGTTAAAAAAGAAAGGTACCACATAAATAAAGCAATAAAGACAAAGAAACACAAACAGCACAGCAGTTAATCGAGCCAGAAGCAGCTCCTGTTGTGTCTTAGACTACCAGGCCAGAAAAGAAGAGACTGACGACAAGTAAGCTATATGAATTTTGAAAAGGAAATTGATTTACTCTCTATCACTCATCTACCAATTTTTTTCAAAGGAAAAGGCTCTAAAAAAGAAAATATATGCACAAAGAAACTAAATGAGTAAACGTAACCTAAATATACCTAGAATTCTCATTGTATCATTCAATCAACTGTTGTTTAAATATGCATTCCTCATTAGCAACTCAGGCTAGAATTTATTAAGAAAGAATAATGAAGACAAAAAACAAACCTGGCCATAACAAAAAGTTCTCTGACCATTCTTGAACCTTCTCCAATATATTTCTGAACTAATTCAGAACCAGAAACCCTGATAAAAGTACAATCAGTGTGATGGGCCACAGCTCTGGCCAACAAAGTTTTCCCTGTACCTGGTGGACCATATAGCAGGACACCCTACATGACAAAGAAAAATTTAACTTAGCAATGCAATTACACCTAAAACAACAGACACTACAAATTGATAATAAAATGGCACCTTAGGTTGTGCTATTCCAAGACTCTCAAACAACTCAGGATGCTTGATTGGAAGCTCTATGACCTGAAAAAGTTGTCACATAGCAATTGCCTGTCATTCACAATCAGATATGGTATTCAAAACTAAGATTTAAGAAACTAAAATAGATAAAGGATATCAAAATAAGAAAATATGCAGATAAATAAGTCAAAGGGCAGGGGAAAAAACCTCTTTTATCTCCTTGATTTGTTGATCAAGCCCACCGATCATGTCATATGTAGAATCTGGAACCTTCTCAACTTTCATGAGGTTAACCAAGGGATCTACTTTGCTCGGCAAGATCAAATGAAGAACATAGCTATCATTCCGGAGGGCAACTCTGGTTGATGGTGTGATTTTTGTGATATCAATGCTTTTATCAATATCAACAACATATTTCCCTTCTGGATGAACCTGGAGAAATGCCAAGTCACGAGCAATGCAAAGTAAGAGAAATAAATAACCTATACATGATATAATGGCCCTACAAGTTAATACAGATTAAATTGATGCCAAAATCCAGTGGATAATAAAATCTTAAAAGTTAAAATGTGTTTTCAATAGATGAAACCTGCTTTATATAAGTTAAAAATATATCATTAGGTATTAGGTACACTGTTCATCCCGACTAGTTGCTTGCCTGTAAGATATTATAAATAAAATCTGCCCCATCTCTCTTAAACTCACTAGACAACACACAATCCACAGAAAAGCAAACTCAGACTGATCAATTTATTCAGATATCTTATGTCAAAAAACCACCATCCAAACTGAAAATCAGGTCCAACCTCCTCACACCAAACCCAAGAAAAAAGCAAAGGGACAACTTAAACTAGAAAAGAAAGGAAGTGGAAGCCGGAAACTATATAAGCAAAGAAAGAGGCCAGAAAGTTAAGTAGCAATAAAAGGAAACATACCTTAACTAAGACCTTATTTTTACCCATAACTTTCACAACCTCACCAACATACGATCCAGGCTCCTGAAGCAGCTGCAGTTCTTCTCTGAGCATTCTTACTGCCAGATAAGCAAACATACACAATGTCATTGACGAGTTCAACAGTCCCAATTCATCTTTAACCAAGAAGCAGAACTAAAAAGAGCATGATCAAAAGAATATATAGCTTAGTTGACGTTCATCCTTTTCCCCCAAAATCAAGTTGCCCTAGAGCAGACTCCAAACATAATACGTAAGGGGATAATCACCATTGACAAAACGTTTGCATAATAGATGCTAGATCCAAATCATTCTAAATCTAATTCTATATTTCACAGCAGTGATTTACATGTAACGGAATCCAGTTTTAAAATCTAAGCAAAGATAAGCTCTGCGCATACCTCCTTCAAAACTACCATAAATCCTCTAGCAAAGCCCAGGTTCAAGTTATTTTATTGTCAAGATCAAAACTTTAAGATACCCCCTTTCAAAAATTCGAAAAAGCATAATCCCAGAGGAAAATTCCCCACCGGCGAAAGCAAAAGGAAACAAATAGAGGAACGAAAAAGAAAGTTAGGGTGAAGGATAGATAAGACGACACAGACCGCGGGAATTGAGGTCGTTGCGCTGGGCTTCAAGGCGATTGAGGTTATCAGTTTTCTGACGGACCTGAAGCTGGAGCTCGTGGATTTGCTGGAGATAGTATTGTCTGAGGCCTTCTCCTTGCTTGGCCCCAGCTTTGACCGTGCACATCTCTGGCGCCACCGTATCGGCTTGCTTCCTGTCAACGCCCACAGCAGCCATTACTCGTGTTTCAATGGAGAAGGGAAAGACCTGCCGTCGTCGGCTCTACACTACGCGGCTTGTTCTGGAAAGTGGTGGTTCTTCTCGTTCGTTTTCCAATCCGTCTATGGCTTTCACCTGTGACTCCGCGAATTTGTATGCCCCTAAGGCGGTTGCTGGATAAATGGGCCTATCACCTGTTATTGATTCTTGAAAACCGTTTTGGGCCAAAGGGGGCCCAGAACCATTTAAACGGACTCTTTTTCTTTTTCTTTTTTTTTTTGGATAAATGGACAACGTTAATAAACAAGTAACAGAAAAGTTCTAGCGAGTTTCTGCGTAGATTTAGGGGCTGTTTTTTTGCTTAAATTTTTGAAAGTTTCAGTTTTTTTGATATTATTTATATTTGATAAATTTAAATTTTTTTTAATTTTAAAAAAACCTTAAATAGTAAAAAATAAAAAATTTCAAATAAAAACTTTTTATAAATTTTTTTATTCACTTTTTACTCATTTTTTCTTATATTTAAAAGTAACTTTTAAATTTTCTCTT